AATATGAATGGGTTAAATGATCCGTAGTACATGATATGTAGCCCTGTACCCCCTTTTCCACTTACAGAGCTAGGTTATTTTTCTTTTAAATAAATATTAATGTAATTTTATTGGTATCTATCTACCATTAGCTGCCTCATTTCCCATTTCCCTCGGCTTATATTCGGGTCAATACTTTTTCCCAGTTTTTTTTGGTAAAATTAGGTACCTCGGCTTATATTCGGGACGGCTTATACTCGAGTATATACGGTATATAAAAGGGATGAACAGATACCATTTTTCCAAGTACGAGTACTGATACTTGTCCAAGTCCTCCCAGATACAAGTACTGATACATGTTTATTGTCATGTGACAGTTTTTGTAAAACAATACCGACTAATGATTTCAGGACAGTGGTGGAGCGCCAGAGCCCGGTCCCAGCTGCAACCGCTGCAACCTTCGTAGTTCTCATGAAAATGGCAAGTATCGGCATTGGTATCTGAACTGGTATCTGGACATCCCTATTTTTTCCCAATAATGAATCCAGAATATATATATTGCCCAGCAATGTACAGTATCTCTTTAAATTTTTGTTCAAGCATCATGTTTCTGAAAAAAAACAAAAAAAACTGTTTCCCTGAACTTCCTGTTCGGTACAAGATCACAGGGAATAGAGCAGTCTACAGCAGTCGTCCATCTATTAGGAGGAAGAAGACGGGAGGAAGAAGACGGGAGGAAGAAGACGGGAGGAAGAAGACGGGAGGAAGAAGACGGGAGTGTCTTGCCTTACTGTGTCTATGTATTTGTGGACGGACACACACAGCTTATTAGCACACACAAAAGGGGCTCCATAGGACCCTGCAAGGGAAAGGAGCCCCCCTAAAACAGGATATCAGGCCAGTGCTCAGGGAGACCAGCTGAATCTGCACGAAGCTAAAACTTTTAAACACCAATGGCAGCATCCATTGTAAGTGATTTCATCAGCATTTGAAACCGCTTAAAAACCTTTTGAGTTTGACATCACTTTAACTGTTTCGTTAAACACAATGGGGCTGAGCTGATCCTGTTAAAGGAGAACTATGGAGGTAAGTGTTTTTCCCCATAGTTCTCCTGAGGGTCATGGGAGGCAAACTAGCTGCCTCCCGTGACCCAAAGCCCAGTATATAACGAGCTACAGCTCGTGGTATACCGAGACCGCCAGAGCTGGGACGGATCCCGACATTACTGTCGAGATCCACCCAGTTGCGTGAGTAACAGCCCCCGTCCGTTCCACCAGTCAGCGCTGGAGGATCGGACAGGGGAGGGGGAGAATCCCTGCAGGGAGCCGTGAGTGACAGTCACGGCTCTCTGCAGGGACAGGATCAAGAAATGAGCGAGTGGCGGTAAGTGTTCGCTCACTTCACGATCTATTGAGCCGACCTGTGACGGTCTCATTGTCACAGGTCGGCTAGAACTATGAGGATTAGTGATTTTCACTCGCCTCATAGTTCTCCTTTAACTCAAAGTAAATGTTCACTGAGCTTATTCAAACGGCCAAGCTGTGTTCACTTTGAATGCCCAATCGCATGCAAGGGAAATATATATAAAAAAAAAAACCACAATGTCCTTACTTGATCATAATTGAATCATTGCTGTGAGCATTTCGTGAACATTTCATATGCTCCATGAACAGTCCCAGAAAGGCATTGATTTCATGGAAGCACATGGGCAACAGTACACTACAGTCCCAGCAATCCATATGTACTATTCTCCATGAACAGTCTCTACCCCTTCAATGATAAGCTATTGAAGACACATACCGATTCTACATCCTTGGTAGTACCCGAATCTTGCGAGGTGTCAGGATGGATGATCGTAGCTGAAAGATAGAGCCACAGGTCAAAGCGGAACTCAAGTGTCAACACAAAGCAATATAACCCTTCTTACTGGGATGGGTGAAGAGTAATAGAAAAGATACTGAAAATGCTGCTCAGGGTCCTTCCAATGCTGATCACATGGTTAAAGCCTAGGCAATGGCTCATGTGATTTCTACTGAAGGAAAGCCACTCTGAACATGGACCCTCCTTAGAGATCATGTGACAAATGCCAAGGTCTATGGAACAACAATTTCCCCAGAAACAGTAATCCATCTACGTGTATGTGGGCAGCCTTAGCTAACAGCCGAGTGTGTGTTCATTTTATTAACTTGCTGAATCCTGATGACATTTGACCTCCAACCAGACAGAGATCACAATTAATTTTTTTTTTTTTTTTACCGTCACTGGAAGCTTCGCTGGAATATTCCGCCATGTTGTCCTTCTCACCCGATTCTCTACACCCGGATTTATCCTTCCCCATTGTCAGCGAGTCAGTTTCTGCTCCTGTTATAAAAACAAAGAGTGATGGAACTATTATCGGGGTTTGTAGATTTCTGGCTTCCTTCCCACAGGCTCCATTACCGTTATCAGTCACAAGGTCACACAATATATATTCAGCGCGGAGATCTGTGGATGTCATTGTGGGATCAGGGAGTGCCAGAGCTCCAACTCACCTATAGAGAGTCCTGGAGAACTCCCGGAGTTCAGGGAGACCCGGGCGGGCACAGGACAGTGCCTACTGAGACTTGCTTTGAGGGATCCATGGTATGTGCACACTTCTATTTCAGAATAACAAACAATTCAAAATCCTCCATTGAAAGCAAAAATGTTCTGTGGTGTTTATGAATTGTAGATTGTAAATCGCCCAGAAAAGGAGGCGGGGGCCTCAAGCGAGAGAGAGGCCGCGGGGGCCTCAAGCGAGAGAGAGGCCGCGGGGGCCTCAAGCGAGAGAGAGGCCGCGGGCAAAAGAAAAAGGGCAGAGCAAAACAAAAACAATAAAAAAACAGAATGGGGGACAGAAGAACGAGAGAGGGTGAGGACAGAAGAGCCAAGAACGTGACAGTGAAAAGGAAAGGCCCCATTAGGTGTGCAGGTCCTACTAACTGGGTGGATGAGACATTATTCAGTGCAGGCGCAGAACTGCGCCCAGTTATACAACCAGCAGTCATGTCCTGTAGCTGGGAGATATTTCCCAAATATAAGATCACTTTGTGTTATTTCTTGTGGTTTTGGACCCCAAAATATTTTGGAGGCAACACCGGCAGCAGCAAATCCTGTTTGGATTTTATCAGGGAGCGTTCTCTAAATTATTTACACAACAAAACTTCACTTCCATTAACAGCTCCGCAAATGTTTATGTCACGTCAGTGTTTATAGGAAAACACAATCTCTAATCACTAATCTGTATTCATTCAAAGCTGAAGCTTAATCTGCTTACATTTCGCCTTCCGTGGTTCCTCCCTCCTCCTCATCAACATCCTAATGAAACCTTTTTCCATTTTTATTAAATACCTCATCAGTCGCTGTGCTTCTCTATGCAATGTGGGCAAATCATGGTTAGTAGGAGGGGCCTGCATACTACAATTTTAATATTTCAGTCACCGTACGGCAGCACACCGATCACTCGTGTGAACAGAACCATTGACAAGAAGGAAAAGATTTTCGGACCAATCTGAAACAGTAACACACTATACAGTGGTGTATTTTGGTTTTGTGCTGCTCTAGGCAAGACTAAACTTTGCACCCCCAATCTCTAAACCCCATCTGTAAACGCCACCTCTTCCTCTCTGTGCATTAAAAGTGTATGAGTGCCTATATTTTGTTGGAAGCCCGCTGCACAGGGGGGGTTCATGGCTTTATGCAGGTGGCGGGGTTCCCCTGAAAGATGTGCGACCGTCACTGTAAAAACAGGCAATGTGAGGTCCCCAGAAGGCTGCCACAAGGCCCTCAGCAAAGCACAGTACCTTACAGCAGCCAAATCTATTAAAAAACATTTAAAGGGCCGGTATCTGTTTTTAGTATCTGGCCACTTTCACGAGTACTCATCAAAATGCGCCGTTTCAGTTCATTCCTTGCGTTTCTTACTGCTCCCTATGGAAAGTGCTGCCCAAGGCAAATGCCTTGTTTGCCTTGCGTTAGAAACACCTCTGACACTATATACACACAATACATCGGGAGTGAATGGAGCCCAAACCATTCACCAAATCTCTTACCAGGTACCGCTGTCATGTCATCCAGCCGCACGCCAGCAGGGGAGGAGTTTGTGATCACCAAAGAGCTGCGAAAGAAACACACAAGACCATGAGCCTAAAGGGAAACAGACAAAGAACCTAAAAATGTATCAACTCCAGAAACGATAGAATTCTATAACCTTGTATTGTCCACAGCTGCTGGAGCATGTTCCCTGATCTCCTGAAACACAAAGCAGGAGGAGTTTTTATTCAGCGGCTTTAGTATAAACTGCAACACTGTATACAAATCTTTGAAGGGTTAACAACATATAAAAAACATCCACAATGTGGCCATTTACATGCATGTCAGGGGCACTATGCTGCCTGGAGAGCCTGCCAGTAGCAGCACTTCCTGTTGCAGGCCGACAACGATAAGCTCCTGACTCACAATTAGCAGTGGTTAGGTACTTGTTCACACCAAATGCAGACCAGACCTGCATGAGTTTCTGCACACGCAGTGCAGTGGGTTTTGCGCTGTTTTTGATGCGTTCCGGGCTGGGTTTTTTTTAGTCTAAAATGGACTTTCAGTGCATTCCAGGGCATTTGCGTGCATTTTTTATGCGTTTGCATGCGTTCCAGAGCAGGAAAAATAGGGCTTGCTGCAGTTTTTTTTACATGCGCTGGAACTGAATGCTGCGGTGTAAACTAGAGCCCAAAATACCATTGGAAAACATTGGACGCAGTTTTGATCCGGTCTAACTGCTCTGCTCCTGGAACGCGCTTGGTGTGAACTAGCCCTTAGCAGAGGTGTTGTCAGCCTGCCCTGTCCTACGCATCCTGACAGGCAGCCCAACACGGCAGGCTGACAATGCTGCTCCTAATTATGAGGCAAAGGCTTAGCATTATTAGCCTGCAACAGGAACAGGAAGTTCTGTTACTGGCAGATCTCCAAGTAAGAAACTTTGTAACCGATTAACCAAAAAAGTGCCAGGAATTGTTTTTTTTTGTAAACATGACGGCCATTCTTTTTTTTTTAATTTCAGCTGTATGAACTCTGGAACCATGAGCTGAGTACATCCTCCCCTGATGCAAATCAATTCTATTTATTGTCAGCTAATTTGAATCCTTTCCTGCGAAAGTACAGGAGAGACATTGTGTGAGAAGAGACGCGAGGCACAGGAAGAGACTCAAATCAACTCTAGAAGGAAATAGATTTATTTGAAATAAAATCATACATATATTTTAAAATAATAAAACAAATATATATATATATATAGATATATATATAAATGGGTAAGCCGTATTAGTCCAGGTTGTAATCAAAAGTATTCTAACCCCATTGCAATTCAGGTTTATTTTAAATTAAAATATCAGTGAACTGGAGGCCATGGCTCATGAGGAATATGCCAATATTCCTCAGGAACATGACCAGAAGCTGGTGTCTGGCTATGCACCTAGTTTGCAGCAGGTCATAAGAGCAAAAGGGTGTTCTGCTAAGTACTAAAGATGCTTGTCATGAAGAGATTGAATAATTTCGAGACTGTAGAAGTCAATAAAAGTTGCATTTTCAGTTGAATTTTGCTCTGTGCTCTCCCTTGTGATCCTGTACTGAGAAGGATATTCAGGGAAGCAAAGCTGAGAGAGTTGGAGCTATTTTCAAACATGATAACTGCACGTACTTGAGAAGAAATGTCAAGAAATACTTTGCTGGACAATGTACATTTGTTTGATCTGCATTCATTATTGAAAAAAGATTGAGGGTTTAATATTACTTTAACTCAAGGATATGGATCTTCATGTTCATGCATTGTGATTGTAATGATTACAAATAAAGACTCTCACCCCTGATGTTTTATTTTTGTGACAACTTCCAACCTACCGATAGCTATTGGTAAATATTGGCCACATACACTGCCAGCAGGCAGGGTGTGAGAGTCCACAAGAAGTTACCAGGGGATAAAAATGTCACAAACCAAACATTTGTCAATACCCCCATTAGGCCAGTCAGTAAGATCCAAGTCAAATCTCCCACCAATCCGATCTTTCTTCTCTAAACATAAAAATACAAGTGACGGCATGGTCACCGTTCACAGGCTATAGAGCGTTTGATGCTCTGCCGCTCTTCTGGAGCTCCGGAGGAATTTGTATATTTAAATTTTCTCTCCTTTATGACTCCATTAAAAGGCATACAGCTGACAGCAAGATTTACCCTACTTACATAAAGGCCGCATATTCCAGCGATGCTTAAACTGTGTTTGTTTTAGCCCTAATCTTCCAGAGAACACTTCAAATTATTACATTACACAGAGATCCCGTCCCGGGCTCGGGAAACACACAATTCCCAATCTTAGGACAGAAAAAAACCCTCAAATACAATTCCTTTGTCTAAAAGAAACATTAATGGGGCCATAAAATCAACACCGACACCCAATTTACCATCTCTGGGGTCAGGCTTACACTAAACGTTGTGATGGATGATTTAGAAGAAATATTTAAGGGAAGTTCACGTATATTTAACAGCAGATTATGGGATCTCTCATGCCTGTTATAAAGTGACAAAGAGAATATTATAGTGGTTTAATATTTGTGCCTCTTTTCACATTTATTTTGGTAAACTCAAAAACTAAAAAAGGTTTAAAAAGCACAAAATGTTAAATTATATTTTCTTTTTGTGTGTTCTTATATCCAGCCTGCAGGTGGCACTAGGGCTGCAACAACGAATCGATTATAAAATCGATAATAGTTGGCAACGATTCTCATTGATTAGTTGGGGGGGAAGGAAAGGAGAAAGGAAATAAGGAGAAAAGGAAAAAAGGAAAAGGCGAGGCGAAAGGAAAGAGAAAAGAGTTTTTTTAAAACAAACAATCCAATAATTAAATTAATTGAAAAAATTAAAAATCGGGCAACTAATCGATTATAAAAATAATTAGCTGCAGCACTTTATGCTCCTTTTCATAATGTCCTCCAATAGCAGCTCCTGTGTTTAAAAAAGTCAGATCTTTCAGGAGCTCAATAGCTGAAGCTTACACATACTAGTACATAAAGCAAGGGTTAAGACTACCCACCGTTTGGCTCAATTTCAATGAAACAGAGCAAGCTTTGAAGCGGAACTTTACTTAATAGATACACTCGCTATACTCGCTAACCTTGCACTCCTCTTCTACTCAGTAATCTTCATCAAGAATCTTCTTTATGCTTATTTTGTCATCTTGCCTGCTCCCCCAGCTGTCATTCTCACCTAGGCAAGAATGACATCTACTCCACTATGAATCCTCCTGGGCTATGCATGTCACACATCCCAGGGTGCTTTTGGTTCCATAGAGCAGCTGAAGTGGTGGGGGCAGAGCTGACAGTGAATCAGGGGCTGGCTGCCTGAACCAGGGAGTGACAGCTGGCTCCCAATGATATCAGAAACAAAAATATGGTGGTGCAGGACCAGGTATATGGCAATGATGCAGCAGATTGTAGCAAGACAAAGTGGGGCTCACAGGGCAGGTATGTTAATTATGCATTACAAAAGTTAAAAGATACTAGTTTGAAAAAAAAAAAAAGCCACACACGCACATACACAAGTGGTGAAATTCTTCTTTAAGGTAGGCAGCTACCTCTGTGCTCTCTCTCCACCTAACCTATCTATAGTGCTCTGGGAATCCTTTGTCAATCATGCAGGACCAAATGTTCCACAATGTGGCACTGCCGAATCCAATGAGCTTATTTTATTTTTAAACCTTAAGAGACGCCAAGATGTTCTGTCTGTCTCCTTGAGGTTGGCACAGTGCTCTTGCCGACTCCACAGGAGCCCTGGAACGCATCAATATGTACACAACGTTCATGGAGTTATGTGACAAAATGTGGAAAGTCATGTCCTCCTCCAGCTTCTTGCCAGCTAGTAAGAGCATTATTATCATTCCTGAGAGTAACACCATTATTTCCCCTGACAGGACAGTAAAATTCAGAATCACAAATGGTCTGAAAACATCCAAACCACAAATTAAATCACACAGCGATAAAAGGATAACATACAATGATGAGGAGGAGGCGAGCGAAGAGACAATATGCAATAATCATATGCAGGTTATATATGTGTAGAGAACGATTAACATCAACTATCTTGGAAACCCAGAACACTCACCCTATAGGAAAATTTTACTGGACACAAAATTGGGCAGAAAAGCAATTTGTCTTTAGGCCTCAAGAAGGAGAAAACAGTTTTGCATTTTCAAATTGTTTAACAAAGTGCCAAAATTATAGTTTTCGGGAAAGAAGAATATTTGAGGCCCTGGGAAGAGTCTTTAGTTCTTTTTGATCCGAGTCTGGAGACCACTCACTGGTTTATTGGCTTAGGCAGCTCAACAATAGTGGGTCACCACTGGGAGATGCCGGAAGCAACTCAGATATTGGATAAGAAAAGGAAGTTGAGCCCCAGACTGATGAGATGTCAGTCCATGAAATGTTTATTTTGATCACACAGCAATGGATTTCAGGGGCAGACAAGTCCTTTCATCAGGGCTCAAAACAGTAGGGTGGAGGACATGGACTCCATGAGCCCACTTACGCCCACGTTTTCTTACTTTGGGAAAGTAATGCTGATTGTAGACCATTTCCAAATCACAATTCTGAGCACATACTATACCCCCCCCCCAACTGGTTTGGAGCCCTGTTGAAGAGTGATGCGTCCTTCCCCAAACCTAAAAATATAGGACAGCAGACCCCGTTCTCAAAAGCTCACCAAACTCTGGCAAGTGTGGTTAACAATGTAAAGGGTGCTCAGATAATGGGCCCTCTCTCACCAGAGCTTTACCCCGAAATAGGTTGCACTTTTGTGATCTCATAAGGTCTCCTGTTAAGGACTTTTTCTTTGAAGGTGTTTTCTCTCCGTGGAACACTCTTCCCTCATATCCTGATATTGTAGCAACCTGATATTGTACATTGTGTTATGCATAGACTAGACACAGAGCTTTCTATTGTATCATACGTCTCACACAGTTTTAAGCTGTGCGAATGTGTGTAGTGTTAATGTACGTTATTGTTTTTGGATTGTTAAATAACTGCAAAATAAACACCTTAAAAGCATGCAAGTTTGCACTGGGCGATACTTTGTTTATTCCTAAGAAGAAGGGAAAAGAGAGAGGAGGGTTGGCAGTATTTGTTGGGTAAATTAAGACTTGTTGCAAGTTTTATTATTATAGAGATAAGTTCGGAATTTTTGCCTAGAAAAGGTGCCAGCCCTAGCTGCAGGTGCCGGCGGTCTCATGGGAAATAACAATTGCACAGGCTTAGCCAGTTTATGTCAGCCAGGGTCATGAAGGGACCTACAAAAAAACATTCCCTAATCCAACTGGGCAGATCATGTCTATAGGGACCTCAAACCGATCATGACCAGAGCTCATTAGAGGCCTAGATGAGCAGTCTAAATTTGGCAGCATCAGTAGTTGTCCATTGACTTGACAAAAACATATTTGTTTTTTTGGACTGTAATCCAAAGTGACAGCTGCTATTGGTAGGTTAGTTTGCAAACAAGCCTCATGTAATCACCATGAACAGAAGGCACTCATGGTATTCAAATGGTTGAGAACCACACAGATTGTTTACGAAGTGTTGGGTCTTTCAGATCTAGGAGCGCACACACAGGTGAGAACATCAACAACTCCTATACCATGGAAAGTAGATTTACAGTTTTAAAAAATAGGGAACTGTGCCTTTGAACATAAAATACAGATTGCAGGTATGAAAAAGGTTTTTTTTTTAGAAAAGCCTCAGAGATTGCCACCAGGGAGTGGCAAGTATAATTTTTTTTGCAATATTTTTAGCATTTGATTAAAAAAAAAACAAAAAAAAAAACACATAAATTGAAGTGTTTTAGTTTTTATTGTTTTTTTTCTATCAGTAATACCCCAAACCTTCTACACTCTATTCAGCCCAGCGCTTACCTTGGATAAAGTTTTTTCCATTGCAGGACAGTCAGGATCGTGCACATCAGTCTGAATACCCAGAGACACTTGTGTGGACCTGCCAGAAAAAAAAAAAATCACAATGACCTGAAGGTGAGTTTTATTTGTAAAATGTTTTTTTTTTTTTTAAAAGGCATTCAATTTCAGACATCATTTCAGAGCCAACACAGTGTATGATCTGCAGGTTTAAAGGCCCGCTATAGGGAAAAATATTGTATGCTGGTAACTCTATAGGGTGAATACCTTTAATGACAGGATTCAGTATATTACATTTATTTTATTTCTTCAAAAGCAATGTTTATATTATTCCCAGAATCCCCACATAAAGACCAAGCTGGCCAGCAAAAGTGACAGTTACATGAGTTGGGACAACCATATGACACTGCCAAGTGTGTCTAAATCCATTTTTATTGATATGGTTTAAACTTTTTTTTTTTTTTTCCTTGTGGGAAAAAATTTACAATGCATCTAAACCCCAATAATGAACTTCTTATTTGCTCCCTTACAGTCTGGTAAATAGATAATTGAAAGTCTTTCTACATCTGCTTAAGAAGTAAAAATACTGGTTGATTGTGCTAGAAATCTTGTTAGCCAATAACTTCCTTTGCACAAGCAGGGGTTATGGGAATGGGGAGCATGATGAGATGATGATTATGATGATGATTTGTTATTATTATGCAGGATTTATATAGCGCCAACAGTTTGCACAGCGCTTTACAATATGAGGAAGACATTACAATCACAATACAATTCAAGACAAGATGGTGAGGGCCCTGCCCCTGAGGGCTATCTAAAAAGGGAGGGGCAAGTGATACATGAGGAGGTAGCTGTGTGGGGATGGATTGTTTGAGAAAGTGATGGTTCAGTGGTCAGGTTGAGGCGGGATAAGCTACCCTGAAGAGATGAGTCTTCAGGGATCGCCTAAAGGCAGACTGAGTAGGAGATAGCTGGGCAGGCGGGGGTAGGGAGTTCCAAAGGATGGGAGAGACTCTAGGTAAGTCTTGGAGATGGA